CCAACTACACTCCTACTTGGATGAGCAGAGCAGAGCCACAGTTATCCTCATATTGGTAACCTCTCACCTGGATTACTCTAATGCACTCTACATAGAGCCGCCTTTGAAGACAGTCCGGGCTCTCCAATTAATCCGAAACAGAGTAGCGCAGTCATTAACTAGGACCTACCCTAGAGAACATTTCATGCCAGTCCTCTGACAATTGCATTGGCTGCTTGTCATTGCCTGGGCCTAATTCAAAGTCCTCACACTAACATATAAAGCCTTAAACGGCTTGAGACCAGGATATAAAGGTCCCAATGCGGCAGAAATACCTCCCACATTTTAAAGGTTAAAAAAAGGAAGAAGAAACAACATTTATTAAAAATTAATTTCACTATTGTTTAAACAAAGGGTTACAGTTTTTATTCATTTGGTTTTAAAAATTACATCCTCCAAATGGTGGCCTCTATTCACTATACACTGTTGTAGATGATTTCTGAAACCTGAGAGATAAAAATGAGCTTCATCACTTGTGAGAAAAACAGCATTTGCAGGAACATTTTGAAGGATATCGTCACAGCATGACGAGCGAACTTCCCAGTCGCGTTTGTGCAGTTTCTGAGCAATCATTAATTTGTATGGATGGAACTTCAGATCAGTGTGTAGAATTCTTCTGACTGTTCGATCAGACAATCCCAAGGCAGAAGCATGTTTACGAGTTGAACATGTAGGAGACTGAGTAACAGAAAGTCTCACAGCTTGAACACTTTCTGGAGTTCAAGCGCTTCGAGGTCTTCCAGGTGGCTTTTTTTAAAGTGCTGAACCTGTGGCTCTGAAATTTGCAACCCATAGCAGTATTGTTTTTCTATCCGGAACAGCATTCCGACCTAACGTGTAATGAGTTCGAAAAGTTCTCTGTGTTGCAATTACAGATTCACTATTCTTCAAAAACATTTCTACAGCAAAAGCATGCTGTGCACCAGTCCAAACCATATTGCTAGATGTGGGTATATGAAAAAAATGGGAAGTCATTAGCTAAATGAAGACATCATTGGCACTTGCATAAGTTCATTAGCAACACATAGGTGAAAGTTTAAAATGTGGGAGGTATTTCTGCTGCACCCTGTATACAGGAACGCCTGTCTCCATATGTGCCTGCCAGACCACTCAGGTCATCAGTAGAGGCCCTCCTTCATAAGCCACTCCCCAAATGAGGTGGGGGGGGATTGGCAAGGAATCGGGCCTTCTGTGTCATCGCACCTCACCCTGAAGGTGCAACTGGCACCCACTTTATCTTGCTTTCAGCGCCAAGTTAAGCATTTTTAAATTTAGTATCTGTTTTTAGATTGAACTATTGGTTTGCTGGTGGTTTATTGTTTTATTGTGTATTGGTTATTGTTATTGGTTATATTGTGTTTACATTTCTTCCTGTTCTATTTATACAGTTGTATTGATATTGTATTTTAATTCTATTAAGTGCTATGATTTTGGCTGTTATTCTCATTTATTTTTATTTGCATGTTTTAAATACTGTGCTGTGAGCCATCCAGAGAGCCTGTGGCTATGGGAATGCTATCTGTCTGTCTGTCTTTCATTTCTTAATATTTTCGCTAATATATTCCTTAAGTTTAATGGAAATCCTTCTAATCTGCTAATTGGGCATTATAGTGAGATTGATGGCATATATTTTCCTTATACTTGTTCCATATTTGTAATATATTATTAAGGAAAGGATTTTCTGCCTTTTTAATATTTTTTTATTTTCATATTTAAAAATAAGATCAGTTTTAACCATATTAAACTATCAGGTTGTATTTTAATATCTGATATATGCCTCAATTGATTAGCTATATAATATAACTTAATATTAGGCATCCCAAATCCCCCTATCTTTTGTGAGCCATACCATTTTTCAAAATTTGTTTTTGTCATTATTTGTTTTTCGGCGCCAGGCTAAGACCTTTTTATTTAAAACTTAATTGCTAAATTATTGAATTAATTAGAATTTTAAAATTAGCCGAGAATGCACCGGAGGGTTTTTAAATGTTTTTTTTTCTTTTAAATTATTATATTATTATTATTTATGTATGTTTTTATGTATTTTTTGTGAGCCGCCCCGAGGCTTTGTTGCGATGGGGGCGGCATAGAAATGTTTTAAATAAATTGAACCTCACTTTTTAATCCCCATTACAAAATTATTAATCATAGCTTGCTACACTTTTAAATCTTTATCTGTTAACTTAATTGGTAGCATCATAAATAAAAAGTTTATCTTAGGCAATATTATCATCTTATATAGTGCTATTCTAAAAAAACAAGTAATTCAGTTTTATCACTTTTCACTAAAAAATCACTTTTTTAAGTTTATAGGTAAAGGGGAATTCAAAGGACAACCATAATGGTACTAATAGAAACATTAGGATTTGAAATCTGATTTAAAGGCATAATTGAACAACTATATTCAGCTAAAGTAACAAATGTAATAGCAAACAGTGGTATAACAGAGGAAATACTCCTAGACTGAGGTACTAGACAAGGATGTCTTCTTTCTCCAATACTGTTCATGTTAGTCATAGAATTATTAGCAAATAGTATTAGGAATAATAAAAGGTATAGGCTTCAAAAATGAGATTAAGATCAGCTTATTTGTTGATGATACTGTATTAACAATAAAGGACACGTTAGAAGTTATGGATCAGTTTAGATTACGTTCAGAAGAATTTAAAGAGGTAGCAGGTTTAAGATGATGTCATTTAATAGTGATAAAAGAAAGAAAAATTAGGAATAAATTTAAGGAAAATCAGCAGATATTAATTCACGCTACACCTTGTCTCATGCTCTCACTCTGTCTCCATGTAAAAAGTGTCTCACATTGGCACCCCAGTCTCCAGTTTCCTGGGGCTTCAAACTTTTCCTTGCTTGAGCAGCTTGCTATCCCTGCTGCCCTACAGTCTCTAACCGTTTCACCACCTCCTACAAAGCAAGTGCAACATATTTGCATTGTCATCCATCCTCTGGACTTTTTGGATGGCCACGGCCATTTTTAAAGTTCTGGTTGAAACTTTTGTTTTCTCGGGTGAGGAGAATGTGGCTTCAGAAGGGTTGAGCAGCCAGGGTTAGGGTTAGGGAGGGCCATTCTCTCTCTCTCTCTCTCTCTCTCTCTCTCTCTCTCTCTCTCTCTCTCTCGACCTTTCCTGATTATCTGGATCCTTTTCAGTCCGGCTTCAGACCCGGGTACAGTACTGAATCTGCCTTGGTCGCCCTGTACGACGACCTGTGCAGGGAGAAGGACAGGGGGAGTACATCCCTGTTGGTTCTTCTGGACCTCTCGGCGGCTTTCGATACTATCGACCATGGTATCCTTCTGGATAGACTTGCGGGATTGGGGGTTGGAGGCACTGCTTTGCAGTGGTTCCGCTCCTATCTCGACGGTCGATTCCAGAAGGTAGTGCTGGGGGACCATGTCTCTACGTCATGGCAGCTATGCCATGGGGTACCACAGGGCTCCATTCTATCCCCTCTGCTATTTAACATCTATATGAAACCGCTGGGAGAGGTCATCAGGAGGTGTGGGCTGCGGAATCATCAATACGCTGATGATACCCAGCTTTACCTCTCATTCTCCACTAATCCAGGTGAGGCAGTGGCTGTGCTGAACCGGTGCTTGGCCGAGGTAAGGGAATGGATGAGGGCCAATAAACTGAAACTCAACCCAGACAAGACGGAGGTCCTGTTGGTTGGCGGATCGGGTTTCGGAGAGGGTGGATTTGACCTGGTCCTGAATGGTGCAACACTCCCTCTTAGGGATAAGGTCCGCAGCTTAGGTGTACTCCTCGACCCGGAGCTTTCTTTGGAAGCTCAGGTGACAGCGGTAGCGAGGAACGCCTTCCTTCAGCTTCGGCTGATTAATCAGCTGCGCCCCTACCTGGAATACGACTGCCTGGCGACGGTGACACACGCGCTGGTGACTTCCCGCCTAGACTTCTGTAACGCGCTTTACGTGGGGCTTCCCCTGAAGACAGTCCGAACACTTCAATTGGTGCAAAATAGAGCTGCCAGGTTGCTGACGGGGACGGGGCGTTATGCTCACATGACTCCAGTCCTCCATCAGCTTCACTGGCTTCCCATTGAAGCCCGGGCCCAATTCAAGGTGTTGATTATGACCTACAAAGCCCTAAACGGCTTGGGTCCTGGCTACCTGAACGAGCGCTTACGTCCGTATATGCCCGACCGCCCTTTGAGATCTGCGGGAGAGTCCCTTCTCCGGGAACCCTCCATGAAAGAAATTAGGAGAGTAAGTACCCGGAGGAGGGCTTTCTCTGCGGTGGCGCCCAACCTATGGAATTCACTCCCCAAAGAGGTCCGCCTGGCACCGTCGTTACTGGTTTTTTGGCGCCAGGTAAAGACCTTTTTATTTAAACATCATTTCAATTGTTAAAACATATGATCTGGCCTGGGCAACTTCTTCTTCCTTCTCTTTCTCCTCCTATATTTTTATTTTATACTGATAATTTTAATTTTGTATTTGTAAATCAATGTATTTTTTGTATTGTTATATTTAATGGTAATTTATTATGTACTATTGTATTTCAATGTATTTTATCATGTTGTAAGCCGCCCCGAGGTTTCGGCAAAGGGCGGCATAGAAATGTTATAATAATAATAATAATAATAATAATAATAATAATAATAATAATTTGCACCTTGTATTAGGTCAGTAGGACAGACTGGGGATTCTGCTGGTGTAGAGCCTACCCTGCAACCCATGAGTCTGCCTAATTGAGATGACAGAGGTTGTCTTGGATGGGATGCTGGGATTCCCCAGACTGTGATTCTGGGAGGGTTCAGCATTTGTAGGAGAGTTATCTGGAACCGCTCAAGGATTTATGGCTGCCATAACAACCATGACACTATCTCAACATGTCATCAGCCCGACATATTTAGTGGGCCACACTTGAGACTTAGTCTTTTAGTCAAATATAAGGATTCCGCACTGAGTGTGGGTGATTTTGATTCAGTCCGTGTCATGGTCAGATCACTGACTGCTGAGATTTAGACTGATGGCAGCTTTTCCCCTCTCCAATGGTGGTGTGGGGAGGGGAATGGTCTACCCCAAGAGAATAATAGATCTGAATGGTTTCCAGAAGACTCTGGGGGATTTTCTACCTACTTTGGGGGGCATTCTGGTTCATGCCCTGGTCACACTGTGGAACACAGAAGTTACCCAGACAGTTGATATGATTGCTGCAAAACACCCTCCATGTTGTAAAGTTCATATGGGTTTGTGTTATACTCCAGAGCTGAGAGCTGTGAAACAGCTTAGGAGATGGCTTGGGTACAGATGGAAGAAAACTCGCAGGGGATGCAAGCAAAACCTAGTGAGTGCTTACAATCGGGTATATTTAGAGGCAATGAAAATGGCAAAGAAACAATACTTCTCTGTTAATCAGCGGAACTTTTTAGGGTTATCCAGAGCCTATTAAATGCTGGTCCCAGGGACATCTTAGAACCATTTGTGGGACCTGCTGTAATGTACAGTGGTACCTCGGCTCACGAATGCCGCAGTTCACGACCAAATCGTGTCACGAACAGAAATTTCATAAAAATTTTGCCCCAGGGCGTGATTGCGGTCGTGCTGGGGAGGAGATAGCTGAGTTTGTGCTGTGTGTGTGTGTGGGGGGGGGGGGATGGCCGATTGCGCCCATGTTCCCGGCCCAAGCATGCCTGCGTCTGCCTCACCCACGCGTGCCTGCGCCTGGTCCCCTGCGTGCCCACATCTGCTTCCCCCCACAGTGCGCCCACGATCACGCCCATCTCACCCCCCACACACAATCGTGGGCGGGGGGAGATGGCCACGATCTTTGTTGTTCTTTGTCGCTTTGCTTCACATTTTTGTGAGTGAAAAACCGATTAGTTGTAGAACGGATTAGCCTTATTTACATTGACCCTTATGAGGAAATTTGACTTGGTTCACGACCAATTTGGGTCACGACCAGAGTCCTGGAATGGATTAAGTTTGTGAGCCAAGGTACCGCTGTATTTGCTTCCAAGTAAAATTTCTTGCATCTGTCAGGACTTAGACTCCAATGTTATTACAATGGAATCAGGTTTGCTACCATGTGTAGAGAATGCAGGACTAATGGTCCTTTGGTCTGATCCTGCATGGTGTTTTGTTTTGGTTTTTTTACTGGTAGCAAACATTCCTTACCTGGGCAAGGTTCTTCAAAGAGTGGTTGCCAGTGAACTCCAGGCACTCTAGGATGAGACTGATTATATTTTAGTCAGGGCTTATACCTGGTTTTGGCACAAAAACAGGCTTGGTCACCCTGTATGATGGCCTATGCCTGGTAAAAGATAGGAGTGTGACACTATTGATACTCCTGGATCTCTCAGCAGCTTTCCATGCCATTGTCTATGATGTTCTTCTTAGTTTAGAAGTAAAGGATACTGCTTTGCAGTTGTTCCTCACCTACTCAGAAGGCTAGAATGTGGTACTTGGAGAATATTGTTCAACCCCAGCATGCAGTTTCTCAGGGTTCTGTTCTGTCCCGGATGCTGTTTAACATCTACATAAAACTGCTGACTGGTGTCATCCAGAGTTTTGGAGTGTGTTGCCATCAGTACGCTCTGTTTCTTCTTTTCATCCTCAGCAGTTGAGGCTGTGGATGTTCTAAACTAGTATCAGCCTGTGGCAATGGCCTGGATGAGGCTAACAAACAGAAGCTCAATCTGAAATGCTATTGGTGGGTGGTTGTTCTGGCCAGATGAAGGGAGTTCATCCTTTTCTAGATAGCATTGCACTTCCCCTGAAGGTGCAAGTTTAGAATTTTGGAGTTTTCCTTTATCCACATTTGTGTATCCACTTGAGATTCACTTGTGGCCTCTGTGTCTTGGAGAGCCTTCTACCAGCTTTGGCTGGTGGCTCAGCTACACCGCTGTCTGGACAGGGATGTCCTGGTTTCAGTAATCTACCTCGTAATCTCTAAATTAGATTACTGCAATGGAGTCTTTGTGGGGCTCACCTTGAAAACTGTGCAAAAGCTGTAGCAGAATGCAGCAACTACACTAATAACCAGGACCCATAGGTCCGAACACATATGACCAGTTTCAGCCTGCTTGTATTGGCTGCACGTATGGTTTCAGGGCCAATTTAAAGTGGTGGTTTTAACCTACAAATCCTTGTAGAGCTTAGGATCACAATACCTGTCAGATCACTTCTAGCTGCAATCTATTTGGATGCTATGCTTAACCTCTGGGACCTTCCTTCAAGTGTCAAATTCAAGGGAGGTTCAGAATGTGACAACAAGGAGGAAGGCGTTCTCTGTGGTGGCCCCCATCTATGGAACAGCATCCCTAGCTTAGCTTATCTGATGGCAACCTTGTAATCTTTCTGGTGCCAGGATAAGCAGCCTTTATGCTGAGACTTTTAAAGATTTCCTATCCAGGGGTTTAAGGAGATTACCCTTTCTAAGTGTTTTTTGAAAGCGTAATTCTTTACTGAATGGTACAGCTGTTATTTTCCTGGGCTCCAAGATCACCAGCATATTAAAAAGCAGAGACATCACCCTGCCAACAAAAGTTCGTGTAGTCAAGGCTATGGTTTTCCCATTTGCAATTTATGGCTGTGAAAGCTGGACCATAAGGAAGGCTGAGCGCCGAAGAATTGAGGCCTTTGAATTGTGGTGCTGAGAAGACTCCTGCGAGTCCCTTGAACCGCAAGGAGAACAAACCGGTCAGTCCTAGAAGAGATCAACCCTGACTGCTCTTTAGAAGGCCAGATACTGAAGATGAAAAGCAAATACTCTGGCCACCTAATGAGAAGGAAGGACTCACTGGGGATGACCCTAATGCTGGTAACAATTGAGGGCAAAAGGAGAAGAGGACAGAAGAGAATGAGGTGGCTTGATGGAGTCACTGAAGCAGTTGGTGTGAGCTTAGGTGGACTCCGGGGGATGGTGGAGGACAGGAAGGCCTGGAGGTATGTTGTCCATAGGGTCGCAATGGGTTGGACACGACTTCGCAACCAACAACAACAGCAGCTGTTGTACTAATTATTGAATGTTTGTTGATTTTTAAGCTTTATAAAATGTTCATTTGAAAGAACATATTTAAGTGTTTGTTGAATTCATATTTTTATTTTATTGTATTTTGTTATCTTGTATTTATGTAAACTGCCCAAAGAGCTTTGGCAATGGGGCAGTACAGAAATGAAATAAAATGCGCAACTCAGCTCATTTTAATCAGAGCCCAGTCCTTCTGTATGTACTGTATGGCTTGTTCTTCTTTTGTAGTTGAGAAGGGTGGGAAACATAGCTTAATACAAAGTATTTATGCATTTTCTAATGAGGAAAAGGGTAATTTTGAACTGCCTACAGCAGTTCACAACTAGCATACAGAATGCACATTTTATACCTTGCACATATGTAAGCTGCACATGTGAAAAACAGATGGAAGGAGCTCATTACAAGGATCAGTGCTTAAGAGAGCTCCACTCACAGGACACTCCCACCGGAGGAAGTGGGGGATACAATTTTTGCCAGTGCGTCCTTGCCCTTGTGGCCCTATGCCCTGAAAATCTGCTCTGGTGTGTTGGAATAGCCTCCAAAATTTTGTGGAATGGGATGCAGGGGCTGCAGTGTGGAGGGAGAAATAGTGAAAATAACTTCCTCCTCCCTGTTTTCTCCAGTGAGAATCTCTGTTGGAACTCAGTCCCTTTTGCAAATGGAAGGAGCCCTTCTGTTCTTGAAAGAGCAAGTCTGGATCTAACCCAATGTTCTTGTAAAGGATTTTCCCAGATTCTCTAAGGAAAGCTGTTCCCTGTATCTTGTAATATGAAATTCAGTTTGTAAAATGTCATGGGTCAACATATGTTTCCTGGTATGAAAGTGTTGAATCTAACCGAATGGTGACTCTCACAGAATAAGCCAAATGTGTTTGCCTTGTTCTTTGTTTTGTAGACTTTTAAATCTAATTGCTTTGTTAATATTGCTTTCATTTTTGTATGGATAATTTTCTTTAAAAAAAAACACTGTTCTTGGCAGACGTTAAACTGAATTACCACAGAAGGTCTTTCAGTCATTTAATTCCATAGGATTTGTAAACTGGGCCCAGCACCTCTGCAGATGCACTCCCAAGAAGAGATGGGAATGATTTTGAATAGAGGGGGAATTGATGATGTGCCAAGGGTGTGGGAGTAGGACACCAGGGAGAATAGCAGAGTCAGAAAGGAAGAAACACAGCTGTTGTCCAATCTTTCAGAAAACAGCCAAGCTGGACCCTCTGACCCCCTGGGAACACAGCAGTAGGAAGGGATGGAAGAACCAAACCTAAGAGTTGGGCATCAGAGAAAAAAGGAAAGTCATGTGATATTCAAAGAGACTTACAGCTAGGGAGATGACCCCATGGAAAGATCCATGTTAAGGGTGGAGGGATTCGGTAGCACTTTCTTCTTGAGAAAGGTAGGCTACAGTAGACAGATGTAAAGGACTCTCTTTCATGATGCTCTAAGGCAGGGAACTAACTAAAGCTGATGCAGCTCTGCATTATGTTATGTCTGTCTAGAACTTTTGTTCTTTTTGGCTGCAAGAGGATACAGTCTGTAACATGAGACATGCTTGTTTGTAGTTTGTATAATAAAGGTGTTTGACTAGAAATAGGACTTCACAGCTTGACTGAAAAGAGAGAAAGAGGTCAGACAGACTTCAATACACCATAATTTCTAGATTCAGTTTGTTATAAAGATGGAATATATTATTCAGTGATTTGGAGAGGGTCTCCACTTTGCCACCAACTAATTGGAGCATCCAACTATAGTCAGTTGTGTAGCTAGGTGATTTTAGACCCTGAATTCAATGTTTTTGGATGGCTGTGTGTATTCCTGCAGTTGTGAAGTGCACAACTAACATTTTTCTTCTCTCCTATACCCCTAGATCAGCCTATGCTTTACAAGTACTTCTGCGTTCATGATAAGTTGGAGTGAGCAAAACAAACATAAAACACTGTCAATACTGACTAAAAGAATACTCAGAGTATTCTGTTGCTAAAGATATTTATTTGTGAACAAGGACTGTTTGGATATATGTAAAAATAGTAAAATGAGCATCTTACCTATGTGTGTGCTTGGCCAGACTCCCTGCCTATAAAATGTTCTTTGAAGTAAGAAAGGATGCAGTGGTGACAAGGTTCAGCCCCAGTGGGCCCCAGCATGCTAGCATAAAGTCTGTTTCCCACAGCTCTTATCACCTGCTGCTGTCTCAGTCATCACTAGTGTTCCAGATTTTGACCCCAAGTTCTAGTTCTGGCTGCAACTCTGGCTATATAAGGGAAACTTGAAATTCAGCAACCTTGCTGGGAGACAGGAACCCTACTCAGGCTGAGGAGAAATTATGGATGTGCTAGCCAGCCCTACCCTGTGCATTGCATCTCTGTTGAAAGGTAAAGACCTCCAGTAGGGAGCCTGTTGTATTCAGGTATATTTCCTATGTGAATTAGGCCCTTGATTTTCCAGGGTTGTAAATCATATAAAATCCCTCAGAAGGTTAGATAGTTCCCCACTGCAGACAGTCTTCTCCAACATGTTGAGGGCAACATAGGTGCAGTGGCGGGAATAGAGGCAGTTAGCCTGTTTCATCTCATGCAGTTCTAGCCTTGGAAAGACTTTAACACTTGAAAAGGCATGGGAGTACTGTTTCGAGGAACTCACAAGTTATTTTCAACTATCTGTGTAACTGAAATGTCAGTTGGATCAGGGTTTGTGTTTTCCATTACAAGAGGCATCTAACAGTTAACGGAAGGAAAGTGAGTGCCACAAGTTATAATTATGAAGATTTATGATTTAAGAAAATCTTTGCTGGTCTACTTTGTGAAAGTATAGATATGCTTAAGCATATTTTAACAATTCATTTCAGGTACACTTAATTATCCAAATAAGCTAAGCTGTAACTATTAGATTTTACATTTAAATTACTGTATTATATGCAACACTATAGTATTTTGGGCATCAGTCTTGAATTGTCTTAGAAATCAGTAATTAATTTCTAGTTGTATTCTAGCATGATCATTAAATTTCTATTTGCCAATCTCTTACAAAATGCAATGGGAATTGTATAAAAATCCATATGGTGCTTTCCCCCTCCCTTTCCATTCATGTATCTCAAGAATTGCAGAACTAGCCAAGAATAGTTCATTTACTATAAAAAGTGGGAAATGCTAACTTTGGCCATTTCTTGGCAACCCAAGAGAAGAGTGCCAAGAAGTCAGGCAAACTCATTACTTGTGGTTTACTTAAAACACACTAAATGCACCAAGAAAAGAGAGTGAAAGTACACATTTTCTTGATTGATACCATCTAGCTTATTGGACTGTGGAAAATCTTTCAGTCTGATTATGTTAAACTCTGTGCCATTCTCGTCTTTCAGATTTCTTGAGAGTGTCCCCAGTTGAACATTAAGTTTATTGTCATTGTGTTATATTTTGACATATAAAGGCTTTTTGCCAACACATGAAAGACAAAATTCTGGTACTTGAGTGGTATTAAAAGGTGGATTGGAGATAGCAACGGAAGGTGCCTGGTATTGGTTAGGATCTTAATTATTCAATTAAGATATTTATAGGGTGCCTTTTTACAGTCAGACTCTCGCATGCTGGCTTCTGAAACCTGTTCATAAAATCATATTCAGTCTGAAAGTCACTATAAAAATAATTACACTCCATAATAATAAAATACTAAGGACAACAGTAACCATAACAATATACAAGCAAGCAAGAAATGGACAAACATAAATACTATACTGTACAATACTATACACAGTTTATGTTTATGCACATTTTCCTGCTATCAGAGAGTACTACTATATAGAATACCAGGCTGCTACAGGGCAAAATGCAATGCAACTACAACTACATCTTAAAGAACAAAGAACTAGAAATCCTAACTTAAATAGGTGAGCCCAGCCACAGATAATAGAACAACATGCAGACAACATGCTAGTTGTTCTGGCAGCTCTTTTTCAGAGATGAGTAATTGAAGGTAGGAGATGGTATTGTGGAAGGCAAGCTTGAATAAGTAGTGACGAATAACAGGCTTCAGCTCCTCATCACTGTCCCATGGCAGCTAGTTCTATCTCTGCACTCCCAGAACTAACCACCTCCTCCTAGTTCTGCATCTCTAACTACAATGTTTCTCTGAAAATAAGACACTGTCTTATATTTTTTTTTGCTCAAAAAAACACATTTGGTCTTATTTTCGGGTTGGTCTTCTTTAATGTACACCCTTCTGCTCTGCACTTTTCTGCTGTGCACGCTTCTGCTTGATATCACTCCGCCCTTCACAGGAGCCAGGACTATAGAGGAAGTATCGGCTTAAGCCGCTCTGCATCCTCCCACTGCACCCTCTGCACCCTGCTGCGCCCTCTGCACCCCGCTGGCACTCTGCAAGTAAGCAAAAAAGTAAGACCTATTACCAATAATTTTTGGTAATAGGTCTTACTTTCGGGGTAGGGCTTATATTATAAGACCTACCCTGAAATAAGACTAGGTCTTATTTTCAGGGTAGGTCCTATTTTTGGGGAAACACGGTACCTCTTCTGTGTTTCTGCTTGAACAAACATTGACAATGATTCCACCTTCCTATTGAATTGCCTATTGTATTACCTTGTCCCATTATGCCTATCCAAGTCTCTGCTGCCAAAATAATTTACATCTATCATATGCCTTCCCTTATTTTCTGAACTCTCAATGATCTCCCCACTGTCTCATTCTTCTCTCTTCCAATTTTGCTTCCTTTGATCCCAAAGATCTCTTGCTCGTCTCAAAGATATCCCACCCTTGCTATGCACTGTGTTTGGTTTTGCACCCCAAAATCCTGTATGATGCTGATTTTCTTGCTTGACATCTCAAATGCTAACTTTTCCATGAAGGTTTTGGTTCAGTCCCTGTTCCTACTGCAAAGAAGCTGTAATCAAGCCTAACTATGTGTAATGACACATTCTTCTCTTGTTTAGCTCTGCCTTTATCTATCTCCCCTTCCTATGTTTTGCCTGTGTTTAAAGTTTAGATTGCGAACTTATGATATGTGGCATTAAAGATCTAATCAGCATTGTGATTATGTAAGATTTGCAACTTGATTGTATCACTTAACCAACCTTATTAAGACCAACAATGATTGACTGAATATCCCTTTTTTCCATATGTACCTCTTTCAGATTCCAACTTTATTCTAAGATTGGGTAACCACATCATAAATTTTCTGATAGATTTTTGTCTTATTTAGATTTTCAGATAAACCAATGGTTTCTCTGTATTGTTAGTGATTCAATGCATGTTCCAGCCAACATGTAGTTTGTATGCCTAAAGTATGATGATAGATAGCATGGGTATTGTTCTCTTGGCAGTCTCAGAAATTCTTTTGATTGATAAAGAAACTTTCAATATCAGCCTGATAAAAACATAAATGTAATAATTTCTTTCTTTCCTTCTCACAAGCGAAATCTGAAAAGGGAATACTTTTAATACATGATCATGTTTTCTGATAAATCATTTCCCTCTTGTATGAAAATACATTTTCTGTTTTCCTCACTGGTGCTTATAAGCCAGCAAAGCATCAAGCATAGTATACCTACATTGCTAATATAGTAGAAATGGAAGTCTATTAAAACAATATATACTATAACTAAAATAATATGTCATTGGCACCTGGCAACTGCTTCTTTTTCCATGGACTAATAGAAAAGTTTTATATATGAAAAGATGAAACAACAGGCTTTGGTGTTTGATCCAACAATAGAGAATATTTTGAATAAGAGGATTAATGCATTAGCAGAAACAGCTGATTCATTAAGAGTCTCCAAGTTAGAATATCACTTTGTAAGTATTATCTAGTCTCATGACATGGATTACATGTTTTGACTTTAATATAATCATACAAAAGTTTCTGAAAATAAAATGCTTGGAAAACTTTAGGTATTTTTAAATAATAATTCCCCGCACTGTTATACCTTATAAGGACACTGGAGCAACATTTTGTAGCAAAAGCATATGCAATTGTTTTACAAACAACTTCTGTTTTAGCATTCATTATTCTGAAGAGTATTAAATATATGTAAAATGTTGTTAGTCGCGAAGTCGTGTCTGACCCATCACGAGCCCATGGACAACATTCCTCTAGGCCTTCCTGTCTCCCGCCATCCCCCGGAGGCCGCTTAAGCTCACACCAACTGCTTTAGTGACTCCATCTAGCCACCTCATCCTCTGCGGTCCCTTTCTTTTGACATCTATTGTTCCCAGCATTAGACTCTTCTCCAGGGATTCCTTCGTTCTCATTAGGTGGCCAAACTAGTTGAGTTTCATCTTCAGTATCTGGCCTTCTAAAGAGTAGTCAGGGTTGATCTCCTCTAGGACTGACCGGTTTGATCGCCTTGCGATTCAAGGGACTTGCAGGAGTCTCCTCCAGCACCACAATGCAAGGGCCTCAGTTCTTCGGCGCTCCACCTTCCTTATGATCCAGCTTTCACAGCCATACATTACAACTAGGAAAACCATAGCCTTGACTACATGCACTTTTGTTAGCAGGGTGATGTCTCTGCTTTTTAGTATGTTGTCTAGATTTGCCATAGCTTTCCTCCCCAGGAGCAAGCGTCTTAATTTCTTGGCTGCAGTCCCCATCTGTGGTGAGATCATTCTGGAGATTGTATGCCAGTACTGCTTTTCTTACTCTTTTATTGACTATGAAGGCTACTCCATTTCTTCTGAGGGATTCTTGCCTGCAGTAGTATACCTGATGATCATCTGAATTAAATGCACCCATTCCTGTCCATTTTAGTTGACTGATTCCTAAGATGTCGATGTTCAGTCTTATCATTTCTTGTTTGACCACATCCAGCTTGCCTTGATTCATGGATCTTACATTCCAGGTTCCTATGGAGTATAGATCTTTGCAGCATCAGACTTTCCTTTCACCACCAGATACATCAGCAACTGAGTGTTCTTTCGGCTTTGACCCAATTGCTTCATTCTTTCTGGCGCTACTAGTACTAGTCCTCTGCTCTTCCCCAGTAGCATATTGGGCACCTTCTGACCTGAGGGGCTCATCTTCCAGTGTCCTATCTTTTTGCCTTTTGGTACTGTCCATGGGGTTTTCATGGCAAAGATACTGGAGTGGGTTGCCATTTCCTTCTCCAGTGGATCACATTTTGTCAGAGCTTTCTGCTATGACCTGTCCGTCTTGGGTGGCCCTGCACGGCATAGCTCATAGCTCCATTGAGCTATGCAAGCCCCTTCGCCACGACAAGGCAGTGATCCATGAAGGAGATATGTAAAATAGACAATGATAATAGATCAAACACAATTATTATTTATACATTTCTATATTTCCCAATATTTATTCAGTTAATTTCTATACTGCCCAGTAGCTGAAGCTCTCTATGCAGTTTGCAAAATAGATTTAAAAATTAGAAAATAAAAATATATCATAAAATTACTGCTATTCATAATACAATTACAAAATAAAAAGTCAAACTAACAGCAGTGCTACAATCTGAAAAGCAGAGATGTAGAAATGGACCTAATGTTGACCATCTACAAGCAGAATGGACATTGCAGGTGGATTTCCTTCCGCCTCTCTCAGCCCTAATTGCACCTGCCAGATCTGCTGTGGAAGACTGAGAAAACGGGAACAGATTCGTAGGAGGGTATGGGAGGAGAACAAGGGGAAATCCCACTGAATGAGCAGAAGTCTACAGTGTAGATCCAGAGAGAATGAGCTGCTTAATACTCCGCTTTTTTTAAACCAACAACCAAGCATCTGTTCATACTAAAACTTATTTATTTTTAATTAACCTAGATATTCATGTACTTGTCCTAAAACACATGTTCTCCAAGAAGCTCCTAAAATACATGCAGTATTAAAATGCAGTAGAAAACACAATAGAAAAGAGTACATCAATTCACCCTTTTCAGGCTATTGCAGATTCTCGACTTCAAGGGTAGCCCCAGGTAGAGTACTCCTCAGTACTTCAGCTTTGGGCTCAGTCATTCATTGTTTCAGCATGTTATCTATGTGTCCTTGGGGGCGGGGAGTGGAGAAAGCAAGACTGTGGGATAAGTTGTAGTAATAAATTGGAAAATCTTTGCAGCCTTAAGCAGACAGTGGAGTTCAAGAAATTCAGTAGTGACCATGGGTGCTTTTCCTCAACAATAGTAAAAGGTGAATCCACCATTTTTCTTTTCATCTGGACTGAGGGGCATATCTTACCTTAATGAGTAAAGAAACAAAACAAAAAGGGAACTGAAGATATATCAGGTCTATTTTGATCCTGTGATGTGCAATAGAACCATAGCCTATAGTGGCTTTACGTTCATAATATAAAACCCACACCAGTCAGCCCCCCTATACATTGCTCCAGCCAAGGTTATACGTTTAGCCCATTGAAACTCAGGGCACAGGCCCTTTTTGCATTATGGCGGTGATGAAGTAGTTCCTTGTCTTTGTAGCACAAATAGGGCATTGAGCAACGTATGCTTTTGGCTAGACAGAGCAGATTGACTACCATTGAATTTTGATTCATTCAGTTTTGATTCATTCTACCTTTGGGTTTTGTAGTTTCCTTTCTTTTTTTGTTAGGTACATGATGTTTACTAAACAAGAGTGTTTCCTAATGTTTTATTGAGAAAATAAGTGTTGACTATTTTTAAATAAAAAAATCTTATCAAAACTGTGATTAAAATACCTGTTGGCTTAACACATTCAGTGTTACAAATACACTGTGCCATCACTTCTTGGGACCTATTTTGAGAAACTGAACTAGATCTTGTTATATAAATGTCATGTTACCTAGATTAGTCTGCACTGATCATTGTGCTGACCCAGATTTGCTGCATGGATCATTGTGCTGGATTTTAGTGCTGTTTGAAACTCACATATGCAACGGAATTGAAAACTGTAGTAAACAACTTTTAATTGTTGCCTACATTAAGAAACTAATGCACACATTAAGTTATATTATGTTTATATATTTTGTGAATGAAATGAGAAACTATTGAAAAATAATGACGGGAACTAGACTGGCACAAAAATAGTTTAGAATTCCAGTTTCCTTTGAAAATCACTAGTGGTTCTGTGCCCTTTAATATTTGCTACTTTGCATGCTGGTACTTTGAATTCCCAATTCATATTTGGAGCAGAGAAGCACTTACTTTGACATTTCTAAGTAATATAGTATAGTTTATGTTCAGGGCTGCAAGTGTATAGCACCTGATTTGGATTGTAGAGAGAGACGCCCCAAGCAGCTCAGGGTTTGTTTAGGCAAATAAGACAAAGAGAATCATATGAGCAGTTGCTGAGATGCTTTTTTTCGGGTGCAGCAGCACCACAGAAAATTCTAGGTGCTGTAAGGTATGCTGAAATTTAAATTATTGTATTTCTACAGATGTCAGTATTGTAACAGCAGACACAAGGAAGTATTCCACAATGTCATTTTATGAACACAAATTATATTGCAATAGCATAACTTAAATAGCATTAGTTTGTGCAATGCATTTTTCCAGGAATTTCACCATGCATGCTAACACAATTGATGTATTGCTGGGACCACTTAATCGTTAGTGAAGTAACATTGTTGGATATTGCCCATAATATGCTTTCGCAGAAATGCATATTGTTCTACTGAACTCATGAGTTCATGAACTATTAAGGCTTTCTGCAGAATGAATAATATGCTGTCAGATATGGATTTTGTATCATCACAGCTTAACAGATTATATGATATTTTTCTTCTTTGACATACATTTTTATTAGTTTTGCTTTCTTTGTTCACAGTTCTGTCAGCCTGGAGGATGGCATCTATCCAGAGAGAGGAAGCAGCCTACATTCTTTGTGGTCGTTTTGACAGATATAAACTCTGAACGGCACTACTGCTCTTGCCTAACTTTCTATGAAGCAGAGATCAATTTGCAGGTAAATACTTGCAGCAGTAAACAGTTAGCAAAGAAGTACCTATCCTATATGACATGCCACCAATCTAGATTTTTCTTGTGTGTTCAGTTGCATGTACACTACCCACCCACACCTAGAAACCTAATTTCTGCATCTTCTTACATCATCTGTCTGGCGAATAATGCAGCCAACTCCCAAACACTTTTTTCCCATATGCCCCAGCCCACTTCAGCTATTTCTTCCATTTGGCCCATAGTAGGGTTGCTGGTAACACATGATAGCGTAGTAGTGTTCATGGTAAACAGTAAGGAATGCTTATTTAAAAAATAATATAAATTATACTTTTATTTAATTGCTGAAGGGCTTTCTTAATTGGCCAGTTCTGTTTATATTTTCATGGTGTTTACATTTATTTCTATGTTTAATTAAGGTGTTGCTTAAATTCTGCTTTATTAACCAACTTGAATGCCATTCCCTGACAGAAACCCAGAATATTAAAGAAACAAACATATTTATTTTAGCCAAACTACCATTTAGTCTAAATATGATTTAGTCTAACTACTAGTATTTAGTCCACTGCTACTCATTTATCTATCTATCCATCCATCCATCCATTCCAGTCCAACTACTAAGTTCTCTCTCTTTCATTCCACTTGTGTCTTTTTACAAAGCAATTTGGTATGGTATTCAACTTGTGGTTTAATTCAAGTTCTTGGCTGTATGTTTTGGTAAGATTTTTTTAAAAAAATAAGCTACTCCCTCTGGTGGCTGCCTGTATATTCAAAGAGACAAAAACACAACGATTTTATTTTGATGTGTATGTATAATATCATATGTAATACAGCATGGATCAAACCATTATGTTGTGGTGTTATAGTCCAATAAACAGGTGTGTGTGTGTGTGTGTGTGTGTGTGTGTGTGTGTGTGTGTGTAAGTAATATTGGTTTATGTTCTTCCATCTATTTGCATAATTACAAAGTGTACTACTTTTCAATCCTGTTTGCTTGCTCAATTTTTTTTTGTATTTAAGATCTCTAAACGCATATTTAAATCTATGAATGCATTCCTTAAAACAGAAAAGTTAGGTTGTCTTTGGGTGTAACCTGCTTGGGAATTTTCCTTTAAAATATGAGCCTTAATAATACTTGGACAGCTCTAAATTGTTCAAAAATAGATTTTGAAGTTGTTCATCCAAATTGGAAATTTCAGATAATTTTCTCTGACACATGTTTTGGAATAGTTCGCAGGGAGAATCTAGGGACCAAGATAATATAACTTGTAATTGTGAAATGTTATTGTAATGTTTGGAATGTTGCTTCTTGGCTAAGGTCAAGTGTAGTTTCCTTCCAACATTGTGCATAACAGTGAGCTATCATAAGTTAAAGATCATTGCTAATTTTCATAGAAATATGTTTATAAAATTATATTAAAAATACAAGTATTTTAAATATCTAATTGTAGAAATTAGTTCAAAAGTCTCATTAAATCAAGACAACACTTTCAAGCCTCTGCATAGGAAACAAATCAACTGGTCCGAGTCATCAGAGATCTGGGGACAGGTAAATAAAAAGGGGAGCAAGCATGGGAGCAGGGATAAACCAGATAGCTTACGCTAAATTATTTATCTTACCACAGCAGGTATTAATTAGTGTGCCAGTAACAAGGTGTTTGCATTATTGACACTAATTTGTGAATATTCTTTTAATTGCTTAGGCTTTAGCTTAATAACGATAGTATATTTGGCATTTCATTTCCCTTATCGCCAGTATTATTCTGCATCTACCAGTGTATACAATGTGAGCACAAGAATGGTGAATTGTATCTTTTCCTGCTCCTGTTCCTGGCTTGAATAAACACAGCAGCTTCAACAGAAGCTCTTTCCA